TTTTTTTCACATGCATTCAATATATCTCTCAATTAAATCCATCGGTTTCTTGTTAAAGTTCTAAAAGAAATATTTATTTAATATTATTTTCTTGCTATACATATATTAATGTCTGTTTTTTATTTAATCAAAATAAAAGAAAAGAGAGGAACACAGATCGTTTTCATTCAGAACTGTGTACAGTCAAATTTAAGTAATAATAACAAACACCGCATATAAATACACACATAAACAGAAGAAAAGAACAAAAGATTAATTGTTATAATTATGACCAAAAACGAAAACGTGATTTCATTGAACGTAAACTATCATCTATGGATGAATCTCGAGATGAACTACGAACAAATCTTGGTAAAGAAGATTTACGTGATGGAACAAAACGACGTCGTGATACTGGTGGATGATCAACAGCTATACTTCCTGTAGATATTATTGTTTGATTATTATATTGTGAATTACTCGTTCGTAAAATTGCTGATATTGAACGATCTATAAATAAAAATAAAAATGAAAAACAATTTCAATAAAATCAATGTTTTTACTTGGCTTTGTTATTAGAGGAAATGATGTTGCTGTTGATGATCTAGACATAGGTATAGGTTGTTCTGCAAGATATTGTTGAGTTTTAAGTGTTGCTAATCGTGTATAAAGTGGAATTTCTAAACCTTTCGATAGATTTTCTTCCACATATGCACGTTCATATTCTAATGCATCAATCATTTGTATCTTATCTAGTGGTGTACGATGTGCAAATAAATAGGATTTATTTTGTACACGATCATATAAACACCAAGCAAACAATAAATGTACAACATTTTCTTCATCTAACCGTGATACTTAAATAGAGCAAAACAAAATGAATGATTATTAAAAAAAAGCACATTGAAATTCAATTACCTTTTCCATCAACAAGATCTTCGAATTCTGAATTATCTAAATCAGCTCGACCAAAATATATTAGAGTATTTCGTCGATCCTATTTAATTATTGAAAAATAAAGATTTAATTATATTTTATTTAGCTTACTTTTTTACAGATGATAAGTACATGATCAAAAAGAAATAAAGTCACATGTTCTTTTTTCCCATTTTGATATAAATAAGCATCAGCACGGCCAAGACCTTGTGTACTTGTTTCTATTAAATTTTTACCCTAAAATTATCAATTATTTTTATAAGTACAATTCTATTTACACATCATCACAAATTTTTTACCTGCCAATTTTCCACAGTCGATTGCCATTTATGAACAACTTCAACATATTCCATACGTCGTTTTCTTTCATTAATAAAACTAGCTACATCACGCATTGTATCAACTGCTTGTCGAATATTTTCATAATCTCTATGATCATTGGTTGTATATTTTAATAATTCATTCAATTGTAATGGATATTGACAAATACGTTGAATTGGTGATAAAAGAAAACCATCTAATTTCAATTCAATCATATTTGCTTGTAAACGACATTCCTAATATTAAAAATAAAAAGTTAATTTCCTACAGACATATTTTTTTAAAATTTACTTCAAAGAAATTTTGATAAATAATATTATTTTCAAGTTTACTTAATTCTAAACATGATAATGGATGATTAATACAATAATCGGAATATTTCTTGAATTCTTCCTTCTGAAAAAAAAAGAAGAAGAAATAAAAATTTTGAATCATTTTTCACAACATACATATAGAAGAAAACATTTTCCAATAAGACTTTCATGTGGATTTTGTTCATTAATAGATAATTTTAATAATTGAAAAAATGATTGTTGAAAACGATAGATTTCTTCAATATTTCCCATTAATAATTCAATTTGTTTTTCAGAAAATAAGTCTATACGTAAACACATTTTTTTTAAAAAGCCCTACAAAAAAAAAATAAATAAATAAAAATAAATAATAGATCATTTTCAATAACTTACATCAACTAAATTTTTTAAATGTCCTAAATAATCATGTTCTGTTTTATAGATTTCTTTGATAATATTTGCTCGTTTAAAATTATTTTGACATAACTTTAATCGTATATCTGATGTATTATTATAGGCAAATTTTGATGATTCAATTGTTACAACATTAGCATAAACGGGAATATCTGTATTAGCTATACAACCAACTAGAGAAGATGTTTGAATAGTTGATGAGCGGGAATTACTTCGAAAACCTAGAAAATAATCATGAATATGAAGTTTAAAAAATATTTGACGTTCTACCGGATGATGATGATGTTGATGAAGTTGTAAGACAATTGAGATTACGATTAGATATTATTGGAATCTCTTCATCGATTAATGTTGATGAACATTGTTTACGACGTAATTGTATTGGATCAAAATGATGATATGTCGGCTAGATAAAGAAATGAATTCATCTATTAATAACAAGTAACACTCGTTCGAGAACTCGCTTAGCTCTTTCTCGTAGAAATGCATTTTCTTCGCATTTACTGGAAAAACAAATGAAAATCGTGAAAAATTGATTTTCAATGTTTTTTGACCTGTGACCCCTCTTCACCCAGCAGACCTCAGATTCGAACTCCCCGCATTGAAAAACCTCTAGCAATGACTTTTTCGAAAAATCGGTTTTCGATGTTTTTTTGACCCTGTGGACATACAAGCATGCAATTTATGTTTACTGGCCCTTCTCTACGAGAAAGAGAATAGCTTGATTAATAGAATGATAGTTTAGGCAGAAAAAAAACTAAATCTATTCGCTCTGAAATTTCGAAATCTTTTATATAAATAGATGTTAAGACTAACTTTAATTTTATGTGTAACAGCTTGTTGAACAATAATCGGTCGAATTTTACATTCTTTTATTTGATATTGACGTCGATGTTTTTCTGATTTTCTTGCTGATTTTTCTATTAATTTTTCTCCATTATTTTCATTTTCTAATCGTTGATAATGTCTAAGTGCTTCAGAAATGAGTGTACCATTACCTAAGAAAAGAAAACATATATAAACAATTAAAAATAATAAGAAAAAGAAGTCTTTTATTTTATTTGATTACATTCCGACAGATCCGAAATGTTATCTGCTTCTTTCTAAACAACTAATTCGATTGATCAGGTGTATAAAAAAACTTTCTTCTCATTAAATAACGATTATTCATATTGTTTATTTATTATACATAGTTTAAACTAATGTCAGTTTTATTTGTATGATAAATGAGATAATAAACCTTGACTTTTTCTTTTGAACAACCAAACACATGCAGATGTATTGTAGTGTTTTTTATCAGATTGAATCCGAATTAAAAGACAACACATACCGATAGATAGTTATTGTCTTATGAACTCGTGTCCACTAATCTTGTCAATCATTTGAACTCAGTTGATTGACCTCTTATTAAACGTTATGTTTAAAAAAAAAGTTCGACATCTCCTCTCCTACTGTGTACGTGTGAAAAAACAACAAGATCAGCAAACAATCATTAATGCGGAAAGCCTTTTAAAAATTTAGATTTTAACACATTTGACTAGTCTCTTAAGAACATTTCTATTTCGTTTGATTTCAACTATTCATTGATTAGAAAAAAAAGACGCAAAATAATTATTTTTTTTATTCTTGAAAATTACTATTCTATATCTATTACACAAGATGTACGATGCACATTTTGCGATATGTTTCATTTTATTTGATTAACATCTTGACACGAATGTGTGTATCTTTTCTGTACTGAATTAACAAATGTACATACTCTAATCATCATCACTTTGCTCGATGAAGAGCGATAAGAACATGATGTTTCATTCAACATACAGTTGACACACAATTTCAACAAAAAAAACTAATGTGGGAAAATAAAATAAATCTCGATTGCTATTTAGTATTTCGATCTTCTAGCAACGATGCATGATAATGTTGTATATATAACTTTTCTCTTGATGTGCTCATTGAGAAATCTGTAAAGTTTCAAACAAATTTAACCTTTTGGTGTCGTCATCATTTATTTTATTATCTAATTCATTTACCAGTCACTAGTTGTTAATGAACTGAATGATAAATAGAAGAGAGAAGAAACATCTAATGCATCTACCATATGGAACATTTATTTTTAAACAAAAATATACACTTAACGATAGAATACATGTCATCCGTATTTTGATTTTCTAATCATTCATATGATTAATGAAAACAATGTTAAGACATATGTTTGATCTATTACGTATTCAAAAGAACATCAATAATTATTTATACCTACTTACCTGATGTTATTCATAAAATGGCTCAATTCTCAAACACGAAAAGTTCTTTTTTTATTTTCGAAAATGACATTTTCTTGTCAATCAACGATCAATCATTTATCCTGAGGGATATGACATATGTCTACAAGCTATTTTTTATGATTGATAAAAATAATAAAAAAAAGAACATCAAATATGTAACTAATAAATCCTTGCCTTCATATTAAAAACAAATACAAATAATTCAAATTAACTTACGTTTTAAACTACATCGAACAGTAACAGATGTTGATTTACCATTTTCTTTTATATAACGAAAACGTATTTTTCTCATTATGAAATTTTTTTTATGTTGCTTATTTTTCAGTGAAACTATTTGTTAGATGATTGTTCAAGGTAATGATCGAGATATATTCAATCGCGAACTGAACGAGCGAAGAAGAGAAGAAGATTGAATAATATCCACCAATACACTGATTGAGAAAAAGAGAGAGAGAGGAAAAAAAAGAAATGAAACGAATTGTTTTTTCTATAGACGAATGAATATGAGACGTCATACTGAGAGAGAGAATCAAAAAATCAACACTGGTTTTCATTACGAGAAAATTCTTAAATACGCACGAATACTTACCGAAGAGTTGATGATTACTATGCATAAACATTGCATTTTGTTCAATTGTTGATCGTAGTGTTGTAAACTTGAAGAAGAAAGAAAAAGAAAAGGATCAAAAAGATTTACAAATAAATGATTAAATAAAATGTTTCGTAATCATACTCTTGTTAAATATAAAAAGAAGAGGCTTTTAGTTAGAAGAAAAATATTTAGTTTTAAAGGAATGATTTTAATTAATAAGTAAAGTATACTAATCATTGAATCTCATTATGGGTCTAGGTGTAGGATAGTAGTATTCAGAGAATAGACAATTAAAATGAGATGTCGTAAGTAAAAGTTCTAAATAAGTCAAAAGATGTGCAAAGAATAAAATGAAAGATTCTACAATAGAAATTAATAACGATGATCTCGAACGAACTGGTTTGATTCTTAATCATTAGTGTATTGCATCTACAATGCTTTTTATCAATGAAACTCATCGTTGTACTTCTCTTATTGTAACTCATGATATAGAAGGTGTTGAATAATGTGGTGGCTTTAGATCACTCTTTGTCTCCTTTAATATCTTACTTTTAACTGCGTTATTATGTTCTTTTCATTGTAGTTTACTTTCTCTTCTATTCTTTTTTTTAAATGTACTTTTCATTGAACATTGTAATACTAGCACGAGAATAATAGAGCTCTCTGAGGATTCTATAGGATCAAAGGATAATAAAACAAAGTTAATAGGAAAAAACTATAGGAATCTCAAAAGTCATCCCCGACAATAAATGAACTGGTTTCAACTTTTTAATTATATTCTTTGACCTTGTCTTGTTTTATTTCATGTAAAGTATTGCATCATAATGAATTAATCCATTCAGTCAGTTCTCTTTTTCTACAATAGATACTTTGGATAGTTTCTATAAACTACCAATACGTTTCGTGATAAACTCATTGAATATATTAATCTAGATCTTATAAAGAATATGATAGATATACTGGCGTGCATAGCGATTACAAAACGAACAAGAAGCACAAGCATTATCTTTACATTACCTCATAGCTAATCAATATCCTGAAAATAAGAATATTATCTTTTTTTCAATTACATAGAAAACAAAACAAACCTTTGATGATATTTGATAATCATCTAAACCATTCTTTAATATCCATTGAAATGGTATTCGAATCGTTGTAGGTGCTAAAGGATCATAACCAATATGAATCGAATGATTTTCTTCTGATTTTATTTGATAAAATGGTATATAAACAAAATTATGATAAACATGTTTTTGACAAAGATTATTTTCATATAATTTCGGTTGAAATATAACTAATGTTTGTTTTTCAAATAGAATACCATTGAAAGATTTTAATAATCGTATACATGACCAATTTGGAATATCATATATTATTGATTGATAATTATTATATAAAGAAATATTTAATCTTATTTGTAAAATAAGATCAATACGTGTAAGATCAATTGGTATATAAGGTTTTTGAATAATTTTAATAGAAGATTGATGTATATTATATCCATATTTTCCATTTAGAGAAATATTCTTTGTTAATATAGGTTTTTTTGATTTAAATATCGAATAATTAAGTAGACGAGAACGTCGTTTTGTTGATTCTTTTGCTTTAAATGATCTTTCATAAAGACTATGATTTAATGACATAGATTGTCGACGTTTTAATGGTAAAAGAAATGATGAAACACGTTTTAATTTATTAAATGATGATATAGAATTTAATTTCGGTGATGTATTATGATTTACTGGTTTTTGAAAAAATAAACATGTTTCATGTTCTTGTTTTGATGGTGAAAGAAGTATAAAACAGGATGATGGACGATTTATTGATGAAGATAATGTATCATTTTTTGTAAATGAACGTCGAGTTAATTTTATTTGTTGATCATTTGAATTTGTTGATGTTGCTGTTGAACGTATAAACGAATTTGTTGTTCGAATATTTCGACTAAATTTTGTTAATGTATGAAAAAGATTCGATAGATGAAATGATGAACGATGTGATTGAGAAGATTTTTCAATTGATGAATTAAATTTTGAATCATGAAGAATTGGAATAGTTGGTGTTTTAGGAGAATTTAGAATTGATGACATTATTAACAATGTTTCATTATTGATATAATAAATCTGAAATGATTGAGAGAGAAAAATAAAAGTAGATGATCTTTGACAAGACGGCATAATATTGAATTCTGAGAAGTTTATATATCTTTTCAAATAATTTGTTCCCAAAAGTAGATTTCATATTCAATCAATTTTTAATTGCGAATCTAAGTAATAAATAATGATTACATGTCTGTATTACAAAAAAAGGCTTAATTTCTTTTAAATACCTGGAAAAACGTTAGGTTCTACACAAAGGTATGTTCCAGGTATAATGAATAAATGTCATTGGTTGAAAAAAACTAAAAATTATTGTAAAATTTTAAAATAATATTTAGTTTAGAAATAGTTTTCTTCTTTAGTTTTTTTATGAAACTAATTTTTTCTTTATTAAGATGTCACTACAATCGATAGATAATTGAACCAATTGTAGCGCTATTTATATGTTCAATCAACTGACTGATTGACGTGTATGATCTGTATATATGCGTATAATCTTGAGATCAGATAAAACAGTTTTTGCAATAAAAAATAATGAGCCGTTATAAACATTTCGATGACGATCTTAGTGCAGCCGATTTAAATGAAGCAGCTGTTTTACCTGAATTAGATGTTGATGAACCACATCAATTAGAATTTAAACCTCAACTTCGAAACTATGCATCGAATACACTTTCTTCAGCAAATAAATTTAATATAAATTATTTTAAAATTTATTTCTCACGGCGAACACGGCTTGAACGTTATTTAATCATAATCGTTCTACTTCTTTCATTTATTTTATTTGCAAGTTTTTCAACATTATTTTATCATCAACCAGAAAAACAACATCGAGATGAAATTTGTTTAACATCAGCATGTATACAAGTTTCATCATCAATTTATTCAGGAATGAATCAATCGGTAAAACCATGTGATGATTTTCATGAATTTGTATGTGGGAAATGGATGAAAACAAATGTTATTCCAAAAGGTCATTCAACTTGGTCAACAACGAAAGAATTAGCTAAAAAAAATCTTATTATACTTAAAAGTATTCTTGAACAACAAATCGTAATAAATAATCCTTCGAATATATTTAATGCTGAACAAGAAGCAATGAAATTTTATCAATCATGTATGAATATAAGTGAAATTGAAAAACAAAAAATTGATCCATTAGAAATATTTTTAAAAAATAATTTAAATTTAACATTAAATCAATGGATTAATATTGATCAAAATCAAACTTGGCAAGATTTATTTGTTTCATTAACTAAAATACTTGCAACGAAATATGGTTTTTCATATTTATTACCAATTTCTATTGGACCGGATGATAAGAATTCAACATGGAATGTATTACATGTGAGTTAAAAACGTGACAATAAAGTTCTTTATGTTTATTTTTATATTTGATAAATAGATTAATCAACCTCAACTTGGTCTTGGTAGTCGAGATTATTATGTAAATTCATCCATGAATAACCGAAGTGATCCCGATACTGATACAAGAAATAAAATTGTAAGATTAATTATTTATTTTTAACAAAATTTTTATATTTATACAATTATTCAGATTCGAGAGACTTATATTAATGTTGGAGCTGAATTATTACAACTAATTGGTTTCGATAAAAATCAATCTGAAAAACGTATTAATGATATTATGCAATTTGAATATGAACTTGCCATAGTTAGTTGTAAGTAATTAATATATGAAAACAAATTATGCTTATGAAGTAGTTGAATCTTGAAAGTGTATCACTCATGTATTACAAGGTCCTTTTTGCAATTGAATCAGTCCCGTGAGGAAAGAAAAATTTTCCTTATTCATTAACCCATTTATTTAGAAAAAAACTAGCTCTTTACACCCCGCCCTATTCAGGCACACACAAACATACGGAAGATATATCCAGGGAAATATAGAAGAGAGCAAAACGAACAAAGGAAAATAAGAAGTAGTAAGCCGGTAAACTAAGTGCAACCCTTTTACTTCTCATCAAAACGGACAAAACAAAGAAGATTTATTACATCATCTTCTTTCTACCTGTGTAATAAATAAACGAAAAAAAACTGTATAATAGCCTCATGAACAATACAATCAACATGTGGGAAAAAGATGTATACATACACTATGTTCTTTTAACCTCTACTTGTAATATTAGAATTAATACAAAAATATTGATATATAATAAATCCATTGAAACACTCATAGAGATTCTTGTATTGTTTCAGTACCAATGGAAGCATTACAAAAACCAAATGAAACATACTATTTAATGACTTTAAAACAGCTTCAAGAACATTATCAATCACTTGGACTTAATATTTATACATTTCTTAATGACATGTTGAATATAAATGGATCAAATCCAGTAAAACTGAATGAAAATGATCAAGTTATTGTTCTATCATTAGATCTTATGTCAAATATATCAACAATTTTAAATAATTATCTATTAACACCTAATAAAAGTCATATTGTTATTGATTATCTAATATTTTCACTTATATTCGATATAAGTTCACATTTACCTCATGCATTTGAACAAATAACATTACCTTTATTAAAAGAACTTTATGGAATGGATTCATTACCTGAAAGATGGGAATATTGTGTTAAAGAAACTGATGGAGCATTTGGTTATGGACTTGGTAAATATTAAAAAAGAATAAAATGATTTCAATAAATTTTTCTTATTTGATTTTAGGTGCACTTTATATAAAAGCTGTTTTTGGTGAAAAAGATCGTCAACAAGCAAATGATTTAATTGCAAATATTCGTCAAATGTTTGATGAAAATCTCAATCGAATTCAATGGATTGATGATCCATCAAAAAATGAAGCAAAACAGAAATTAAAAAAAATTGCAGAAAAAGTTGGTTATCCGGATTTTATAAATAATAAAACAAAATTAAATGAACGGTTAGTTAATACATATAACATGAATTAATAGGAAAAAAAGCATTCTTTTCTTCTTATTGATTTCAGTTATGTTGGTTATTCTATGATTGAATCGGAATATTTTAATAATGGTATTAAAATAATAGAACGTGAACGTCGACGATCTCTTTTAAAATTTCAACAAAAAGTTGATCTTACAGAGTAAAGAAGATTTATTTTAATTAATCCTATTGATTATTTTTCTTTTAAGTTGGAGTATGACACCACGAACAGTTAATGCTTATTATTCACCATCGGCTAATGAAATTGTTTTTCCAGCTGGTATCCTTCAACCACCATTTTTTCATAAAGATATACCCATAGCAATTAATTATGGGGCAATTGGAACAGTAAAATTTCAATGAATATTAAACATAAAAAAATATTCGATGTTTTTTTTTATTTCAATTAGGTTATTGGTCATGAAATCACTCATGGATTTGATGATCAAGGTCGAGAATATGATGCGAATGGTAATATGCGTTCTTGGTGGACTAAATTAGCATTAAATCAATTTGAAGAAAGAACAAAATGTTTCGTTGAACAATATTCAAAATATACATTCGATGGACAAAGTGAAAATGGACAACGAACATTAAGTAATTCTATTTCTAGTCTATAATAAGAATTCTTGAGAGTTACAGTGAATCTTTTCATGAGCATAAAGAGAGATGTGATTCACCGTAATATAGTTTCACGTATTTAATTAATCCCATGTCCTTCAACAAAAATAATGTCATCAGAATCTGAATCGTAGCTTTTATACTGATAAGTTTCAATAGTTTATATAATTCTTGAAGACTCCATAGTGTTCATGTTTTCCACATTGATTGTTTATGAACTGTGATGGACTCTAATAGATGAGATAGATTTTTTTTTGTACATTCAAAGTTTACAGAAATATCATTTATGTCCAATGAATTATTCATTGGCCCTTTTCCCCGGGTGCTAATCCAGCAAAGTTGGTGAAAAGTTGATCATACAAGTACTCAATATGACACTAATATGATTGAATTTGAGAGAAGTTGTTTCCCTATGGAGATAGACAATAGATCAAAAATGACCCATTCGTCTTGAATGACATTAAAATTGAACTTTTTGTTGATTAAACAAAGCGTGCATTTATACAAAAGATGAGAAAGAATCTTTTTGTTAAAATACATTTCATATTAATATCTGTTTTAGACAAAAAGATATGATCAAATATTGTAAGAAATTTTTCAATGCTACCTAGTTGCTAAATTTCACTAATTGCTTTCTAGTTATTTTTCAATATTTCTAATATTATTTTTTTCAAGGTGAAAATATTGCTGATAATGGTGGTTTAAAATTATCTTATCTTGCTTATCAAAAACATAAGCAACGTGCATTAAATGGTGGTAATAATCTTTCTTTACCCGGTTTACCGTATAGCAATGATCAATTATTTTTTATTGCCTTTGCTCATGTATGAATATCTACAATTTTCTTTACAAAAAAAAACTTAATTTTGTTCTTCTTAAATAGAGCTGGTGCAGTTTAGAAACTCGAAATGCAATGCATTTCGATTTAGTAAATGATCCACATTCACCAGCACGTTTTCGTATTATTGGTACTCTAGCAAATAGTGTAGAATTTGCTCAAGCATTTTCATGTCAATCAAAAACAACTATGAATCCGAGTAATAAATGTCATTTATGGTAATCATGTCAACTAATTTATGACTACAACTATAAGAAAGTTTTTTTTGTATTGGCAATAAAGTGCAATATTATTATTTTATGTATAAATCAAATTTGAATGAGTTTATTGTATCGTAGAGTATGAATGTTTTTCATGTTGTCAAACAATCGATTTTTTTTTCGTTGTATTTTGAATGTTTTGTACATACACATTTTAATTTTGCTTTTATTTATCAATGTAATTTTATAATACTAATATATATATACATATATACATAATAAAATAATCTATTATTAATTAAAATGACAAAATTTATTGATAATATGTAACTTTGCATAGTTAGATATCTTAAAATCAATACTATTTTTATATTGAATAGTGAAAAAGCTTTTAAATTGTTCATTGAAAGATTTTATTCGAACTAAGTATTATAATTGATGATTGTCTAATTTATTATGGGCATATTTCAATAAATAAAAGTCTAGAGCGTAGTACAACATACATGCGTTAGGAGAGACATAATTTCATTTTATATGTTAATAATGATAGTATTTTAAATAGTATTGAAAAATCTGTGATAATCCATCTAAAAAAATTTGACTCATAAAAGTGACTATTAAGTACTTTCAATAGTTGATTTTTGACAGAGAATAGTACTTATAAATGAACCTTTTTAAGTGTTTTTCATACTTTTTGGCTAAATAGTACTATTAAGTACTTTAGAAAGTCCAGAAAAGTAATAAATCATACTTCGAAGCTAGCAAAAGTATGATTAAATATTTTGGTAGGTAGGAAAAGTATTCTAAAGTACTATGCAAATTGAAAAAGAGTAAAAAAAGTCACTTTATTTTACATGGGAAGAACTTATACGTCTAGGTGATGACAATATATTTTATCCGACAGATTTCTCATTAGGAAACTGACATCATTCATTTCTACCAAAACGCTATATGATAAATAATGACTCAAACATTATTAAAAAAATGTTGACATTTACTATTGTTTTTTTAATATCGAATGCTCGGTTCTTAAATTAGTAGTATATAATATGCAAATGCTCGGTCTATTATATTAAGTATCAGTAAAAATATAGGATTACTGTCAGTAAGAAAAAGAAATTTGTTAAGTAAAGAATTAGAATTTGATCAGTAAGTAATACATGTTTTATCAGTAGAAAAAAAACTGTAGACTATATATTTCAGACGGAGAAGACAAATTTGATACAGAAAAACTCGAATCATCGCGCCAGTGAGGTAGGTTTTGCTTTTGATGGACGATCTCTTTTTCTTTGAGGGTGAGCGTGTGGGTGTGGATGCGAAAGTAACCCACACCCACACCCAATATGATAATGACTAGTAGTATCAACTAGAATCTCATTTCTCTGAATAATTACAGCAAAGTTTAAGTATCTCAATGAGATCGTGGGTGTTTAAGAGTATAACAAAAATATAGTCTTCATATCCACTTCCGTAAACTCAAGTTCGATTCCACTTGAGAATCTTACAATATGATCATTTCCATTATGAGAGAGTTTTGGATATCTCAGATGCAAGATGATCGTCAACATTACTTGAGAAATGCATTAGACATGTTCTCAAACAATTATCGATGAGTATTTGTATTTTTATTAAGAGTGTATTTATACTTCATTCTCACATAGTCATACTCTTCACACGCACTCATCTACTGAGAAGAGCTAACTAGTTTTTTGTATGATAAACATAGATTATTTACTATAATATCACTAATTTTCGAAATTGATATAACATTTCTTCTAATAGATAGAAATGGAAATTAAAGTATTTTACCTGACTCATCTAATAAATTTGTGATTATTTTTTGCGTGGTAGTGAAACTTTCGCAGAGAAGTTGCAATAGACAAGAATTCACTTTATATATGTAATTGAAAGAAAACAGAGAAGATAAAAATAACATAAGAAAAATTGTGGTTGATAAAAGACAGATGATGAAAACCATACGATATTTTTAATGCCGTCTTTCAGTTGTTTACATGTATTCATATCTTTGTTTATGAGCTAGTCAAAATCATGTAATTTATCCATTTAAAAATAACATGACTCGTAGTTGTTTTCATATTTTTCTTTCCTTTAGATTTTTTCTATAATTGATTTATTTAATAAAAACTATGTATCATATTCAATTTATGTTTTAAACTTAATGTATTTATCTCGAGAGAATTTAAACCTTCTTATTTCTTTCTTTTTTTTATCGTCTATATTTGGCTATCATAAAGTGTACTAACGTGTAATATTTCCAATTATTACAATTCTAACGAGCAAGACATACACTCAACGAACATTAGTGTCATCATCTCTATTGTTCTGGCAACTTGAGTTATATATTTTGTTGAATAATTCTTAGAAGAAACAACTTTCTCATCTTGTTCATGTCGTTAGAAATTCAAGTTGTTATTATTATTAGACCAGAAAAAAACAGAATAGGATAAAGTAGAAATCGTTGAGAATTATTTCTGCACTCATCAATCTATTTTTTTTAGAGATTAATAAGAAAAAATCTAGTTTTTCTCTCTTCTATTTGATCACATTGTATATCATTCGAGATATATATATATTCAATGATTTAGCTACGATCTTTCTCATAGAACATAAGGCTTTATTGGTTGTTCAGGTAATCTCGAGATGAACATAAATAAATGACATTTATAGAAATTGTGAGCAGGATCAATAAAGTATCGAGTAGTATTATTGAAAAAATACGATAAGTGTTAGAACGTTAGTAGTGATACCGGCTATTATATTTTTAGAAGTAAGTGTCGATAGAAGAGTTTTATTAAGTTTTATTTTGAGAAAACGTGTTCTGTATCCTTTCGGAATATTAGTAGAACTAAGATTCTTTTCTCATTTTTACGTGATATTAGTTGTCATAGATGTGTATATCATAATGTATACTTGTAGTACTATAAAAAAGAAGATAGTAAGTGATAAAAAGAGAAGAAAGCAGATGCCTCCACGCAGGATTGAACTACGGACCTCCAGTTTACAAGACTGGCGCTCTACCACTGAGCTATAGAGGCTACGGGAAATGATAATCGCATGAATAGCGACATCTTAAATGAAATTTCAATATTACCTATTGACTTAGGTAGAAAAATATTGTTAAGAATAAGTTCATTTTAGTCCACACATATATGTATGAAGATCCTTAATTATTCTTCTTGTTGATTGCTATATTAAATTCTCTTTCTTTTCATTTTTAGTTATTCTTATTGTCTAATTGATTTTTATTTCCTGTTTTAAAAGAAACAATATACATAATGATATCATCAAGTTTTACTTTCTTACAATTATCTATAGTTGTTTTCATAATGGTTACACTTACAACAACAACAAAAGTACCGCAATCAATAGAAGAACCATCCCAGTCCTATAATGATGAAGTTTGTCTAATCATTCTTTGAATTTTGTTTTTCTTATCGAACTTTTTCTTATATTAGCAACATTCAACTTCTGTTCTTGCAGATCATCATCATCAAACTATTGACGAGTCAAAACCACTTGTATTTAATGATGATGAAAATTTAAGTATCAACAGTAAAGAACAAGAATATTATAATAATTATTATCGACATCATCCTAATCAGGCAACATGGCCTCAAGTTGTTGAAAAACGATATGCAAAACAATTAGCTCGTGCTCGTAGTTCGGGCATTAGTGGCAGTGATAGTCGTCTTTGGGCTATACCATATCGATTTGGAAAACGAGCTGCTGCTGCTGCTATGCCCTATCGATTTGGTAAACGTGCAGCTGCTATGCATTTTCGACTTGGAAAGAAAAATGCCGCCTTGTAGATATCTGGCGTAGCTTTAATAAGATATGAAAAAATTTTAATGTAATTTTGTTGTCTGAAAAATGTTGATCACAACTAAACCTCGAATTTCTTCAATAAAAAACAATATTGAACAACCAAAAGCAAATATAGATTCTTTTTTGATAACAATCTGTGATCAAATTCATGATTTACACAGTTAAATTGATATGTTCTATTACGATCTAGAAAAAAAAAGAATTTCTCTTTTAATAATAATAATAATAACATTTAAAAACAACGTAGATACAAGGATTTATTATTGTAGAAACGAAGAGCGTTTTTTGTTTTATAGAACGCAAATAATCCTTCTAGTTCATGAATTCTTTGCCGTATAGAGAAAAAAAGAAGGAAAAGAGTAAATCCAGGGGAAAATGAACCGCAGCACTTATTATTTTTGTTCGTCATGCTAACTTTTTTCACCAGAATAAATATTTATCTTTAATTATACTTGATCACATCTTCATCGAATAATCGTGTTCCGGATATAAAGTTTAATTACATGCGACATAGAATCGTCAATAATTAAGTATACTACTCTGTTTTGAAAATTCTTCATCGTATTTATATGAGTAGAGCTCAGTCAACTACTCAGAATTTTTTCTGTTTTAATAAACAATATGAAAGGTATTTTATATGCTTTGCCATCTATAGAACGACTTATAGTAATTTGAATATGATGTTTTTTCTGTATGAAGAAAAAATATTTGACTTGTTTCTATGTAACTCATTTGATAAGAGAATAATTTTGTCTTCGAAATGTTTTTTGTAATATATCAAATAACTAGTCAAATAAACAGAAGTTTTAACGATTTTTTTAATCATTAACAATATATCAAACTCAAAGAAAAAGATATTTCTTTATTGACTGTCGTAAAAATATAGAGATTTATTCTTTCATTTGTTATAATCATGCTTCAATTAAATAACATGTCTATAGCGCTTTTTTTTCTCTCTCATTCTCTTAATTAAGAATAACACAATTATTAAAATGTTTTGTTTTTCATTTTTCAATAAAAGCGTATATATAAATATGATGTACATACTCACACGTCCGTAGAGATTAACTGCGTTAGTGTAAAACAAGAATTGTATTATCTATTTTCTCGGATGTGTTGTAGCACGTTCTGCTCTCTCGGCAAAACGATGCGTTTTTTTTTGTGTGTTCTGTTCCCTGAGACATCATAGATGTATTCATACGCGTGTATGATGTAGACCATCTTTGTACATCCGGTCAATAAAAAAAGCAAAGAAAAGGAGAAAGAAAACATTCTCGAGCGTTACTAAGAACAAATAGCGCAGGAGTGGAGAAAGATAAGAATTACAGTAAAAAAAAGACGAGACGAAGGCAGAAAAAAGAAATCATTATAATCTTCCCCGAATAGCATAGCTGTTAGACGGGTTAATCATAGGATATCTGAAGGAAAAAAAAACGAGTTAACTCTCTCGATAAATATAGAATGTTTAAAGTAATTGACTATGATACGTATAAAAATAGATGATTGGAAGAAAAACAAAACGGTAAGATTTTATTTAAAAAAGTTTCTTTATTTTCTATAGGACAAAAAAAATTTAATTGAAAATATATTTTCAATAGAAAAATAAATCAATTATTAATACTATTAGACGTTCATATAATTTACATAATTTATTATTCAGATTAGTAGAATAAATGATACAATTCTATTGTCTCATTAAGTCTTTTTTGATTAAATGTAGAACAATCTGACAGACGCGTGAACCGTTTTTTATTCATGATATTACAGCAAGAAAATGTTTCCTTCTTTTTCTCTTTTGTAAATATATGATAATTTCTGAAGAGTTCTTCTATTTAAGAAGAATATCTATTTAAAGTGTACTTCTTTCGTAGTAAAACTAAAAGAACCTAAAAGTCTACATTATTAAACGTCATTGACATATCTTTTAGTCATCACTTCTCTTATCATTACTTCAATAGTTCTTTCTTTCTTTTTTCATTTGTTTTGTTCTTCTATTTTTTTTACAGATAAAAACATCATCGTCTGACATAGAAACAAAAGTCTTGCTGAGTATCTCCTTCATTATAGGTCCGTTAATTGATTTATAGATAATGAAATTTTAATGTACGCTTTTAAAATAGAGTTAATATATATAAGCATGCGCCTTCAACTCTTATGTTTATGCGATATTTTCTTTTCTTCTTCTTGTTCTTCTCTTTTATTGCCTATCGATATAATACCCATACGAAATATGATCTAAGTTAGTCAATACAAAAAGAAAAAATGATATCTATGGTAGCATCGCACTATTGTATAATAATCGACCTTTTTTTATTCTTTTATTTAAGGTAAAAAAATTCTTTCTTTACTGACAATTATTTTATGTCAAATATAACTCGACATCTGTTTTTATACAAATATCCATCATTATTAATAATAATGCCAAATCGCTTTCGAAAACGTTCTCATATACTTTATATACTTGTTACACTTAATATTATTTTTTTTCTTGTGGTTTATCGTCGTCTTATATTAATAACTTCATCATCAGTAATATCATCCGTTGATTTATCAATAGCATCATTCAATGAAAATAATTTAGATGGACAAAATGATTTATATTCATCATTATCTTCATCTATTTGTTATATACCTACATTTGATCCATGGGATCAAACTGTAGCAAAAACAATACGTATTAAACCAATTTATCGTTGTCCAATGAATAAACAAAGTTTAATAAATATTATTGATAATACTCAATTAGTTTTTAATCAAACAGTTAATGAAACATTTTATTCATCATCAATAACACATTGTGTTTATTTAAAAGTTGGTAGAAATTCAGAAGAAAAATTTTTTCGTGATTGGTCTTATACCTTATCTGAACCTATATTAATTGTTAATGGACGTACAGATTCAATTACAGATGTTGATTTTGTTCTCACACGATGTTATAATGATAGGCAAGGATATTTTAATGGAACAGAATTTTGGTAAGATCTTAATCTTTAAAAAAATATTTACGAAACATTATCACTTTAAAGGATGAAATATTTATAAAGTAATGTAAGAATATTTTATTGGATTAATTATTATGAAGGCTTTTTTGCTCTTTTGAAATATTCATGACGTATATTCTATTCATCGTGCAAATCATGAAATCATTAATAAAATTATCAGAATAATTAATTTTTCTAGTATATTATCGTTAGAAGTTGAACATTGCTATGAAATTGTTGCTTCCGTTATCTGTTGTAATAGTACAGAAAAGAATTTTTTATTTATATAATGAAATTTCCTCTTGTCTATTCCTTGTATGTATTCAGAACTAAAGAGATCGATGAGGAAATCGATTTGAGTGCATCCGTTGCGTAGAACTATCAAAGAAATCTATTCTATAGGCATTTCGATAAATATTTGAAAAATGAGATAATAATTTCTATGAATAGTACTGCATTTTTTTTCTAACATGAAAGAACATTCAGATTCCGATTCGTTTTCCATAAAAAGCTTTCCTATCACAATATATTAAAACGTTTTTTTTTTCATTATCGGTTAGCATATAGTATAGAAATGTCAAGCATATTAAATTATCAAAATAATCGATTTCTTACAAACACAATTGTAATCAATGAGATGGATAATGTAATACTATTATCTAAAGATAGAAAAAAAATTAATTCTTAGACATGACAATTTCAAGATTTATCAATCATAATAATTATTCTCTTTCTCGTAGAGAAGAGTCCAGTAAAAATTAATTGTTTGCTTGTCTGTCCGCAGGGTCAAAAAAACATCGAAAATCAATTTTTCACGATTTTTAATTGTTTTTTTTTCGGTAAATGTAGGGAGGATGCATTTCTACGAGAAAGTTCTCAGACGAGCGTTACTTGTAATTATAATATTTTTTTTTTCTATTTATTTAGTGGTTATAAATGTTTGAATACTATTAAAATAAATCCAGTCGATAAAAAAGCTTCACCAACAACACCGAAAAGTCCTGGACTTGTCTATGAATATATTCATCCATTAATACGTCTTAAAAAACCGCGATTTTCACGTGATGTATGGTTAAATAAAGAAAATTCCAATTGGATTTCAAAATTATTACCATCATCATTATCAAATCGTTCACCGCCATCTGTAATTATGGTTATACTTGATGCTGTAAGCGATTTACAAGCACGTCGAGCATTACCGCAAACACTTTCATATTTAAAATCTCAAGGTTTATTTACATTTCAACGTCATGCAATTGTTGGTGATGGTACATTTGAAAATATTGTTCCCATGTTATTTGGTCAACCATCAACTAATTATCAAAAACCGAATATGAATGATAGTCGTTATGAATTTCCTCGAACAGAAATAAAAGTTGATAAGAAAACTAAAAAACGTTATCAAATTAAAAAAATTGTTCATTATCCAGGACCTTATGATGATTATCCATTTATTTTAAAAAACTTTTCAAAATTAAATTATACAACTTTTTTTAGTGAAGAATGGCGTGAAAGTGCATTTTATAATTTAAAAAATGGTTTTCGTCAACAACCAACAGATTTTTATTTACGACCTTATTGGTTAGCTTTATATGAAACAATGTCCTATAATAAATATGGAGGAAATTCAAATCCTAAACCGTGTTATTTAAATAAATTATTACATTTTTTATCGTTAGATTGGCTTGAAAGATTTCTAACTGTTCATCATAAAACACCAGATTATCCAACATTTGGTATTATGAAAATGAATGAAATGAGTCATGATTATTTAGAAAGATTATTTTGGATTGATTATGATTTAAAAAATTTTTTTGAAAATTTATTTCAAAAAAATTTATTAAATAACACAATATTAATTTTTTGTGGTGATCATGGTCATAGACAACATCGTTTACGGCAAACACGTATTGGAAGTTTTGAAGTTAAATTACCATTTTTTTCGATGTTATTTCCTCAATCATATAAACAACAATTTCCACAAGCAATGAAAAATTTAAAAAATAACGAACAAAGTATGTAAATATAATAGATTTATTCTCTTTTTCGTAGAGAAAAGTCCAGTGAGAATAAATTGTTTGCTTGCTTGTCTGTCCGCCGGGTCAAAAAAACATCGAAAACCTATTTTTCACGATTTTCAATTGTTTTTTCAGTAAATGTGAAGAGGGTTCATTTCTACGAGAAAGAGCTAAGCGAGTCCTCGGACGAGCGTTGCTTGAAACTAAATAATATCATTATATTTTAGTGTTAACATCTTGGTGGGATGTTTATGAAACGTTAGCAAATATTTTAAAAATGGTTGAAGAACCCAATATATTTGATCCACTTCTAGTCAATTGGCGTTCAACAACAACAGGTATATCACTTTTTCATCCAATACCAGAACGAAATTGTTCATCAGCTGGTATTCCCGGTAAGATAGAAATCTACTTGATAAATATATTTTTTTTTTGTAAATCTTATTTTAGAAAAATATTGTCCCTGTTCACGTAGTACTCCATTAGATATAACATTACCTGTCATTAAAGAATTAGCATTAGCTAGTATTGATCATATAACTAATGTTAAATTAAAATCGCATATGCATCTATGTCTTCCACTTGAACTTAAAACAATAATTCGAGCTGAAGTTGAAAAATTGGTCATACCAAAAATAGTTAATAATAAAACAGCAGCAGTTAATTTTACTCATTCATATACAGTTCTTTTTGAAGTATCACCATCGGGTGGTATATTTGAAAGTCGTCTTCTTTATCATGAACAAACAAAAAAAATACAGCTACATAGTGATATTCTTCGTGTTAATCTTTATGGTCAAACATCAGCATGTATTCAAGATAAATATGAATTACGTTCTTTTTGTTATTGTATTTCCTATCATCAAAAATTAAAAAATAATCAATCTTCATCTATTACAGTACAATACGCATCTAATACAACAGTAATCAATTCAACGACAACTATTAAAAACTGAATATATGCTAAATTCTACTCATATTTATTGATCACTTTTTATGTTTTGATCGCTGGCGATCACAGTTTTGTTTTTCATTATTATAATAAAAAAAAATGAATAAATGGTCATTAGTTTATTGATCAACACAAAAAAATATATTTATATATTTAATAATTCAGTTGTATTTGATTTTATATCATTATCATCTTTGACAAATTCAGTTAATTCTGTATCATTATGAATAATTGATATAGTACGAGAAAGGTTCGCTTTTTCTACAAGATCCAATAGAAGACCGACGATAATTTCAGCAAATTGATTACCATTAGTCATAGTTTCATTATTATTTATCACTATAGATAATTAATAAAGAAATGAAATTTTCTGTAATAACAAATAAATTTACTCGAAACATTGATCATTGAACTAGTACCAGTATGAATACTTCCAACAAAAATAATAAGAAAGAAATTGAGAATGAACATTTTTATATCACTAATGAATTGAATTTTTCTATATATGTAATTTTTCTCTCTCTCATACATTTTTATTTCTTTATATCTGATTAGCTTGACTTATTGACTTCGATTGCATTGTTATTAATATAAAGAAAAGAAACATCTGTTACTGCTCTTCTTTCTTTTATTGCATGAATAAGAATAAGAATAAGAATAAGAATAAGAATAAAATATTATAATAAGCGAAAAAAATTAACCGTTACAAACGCGACATTCGCACGATTTAATACGTGTATATTGAGCTGCTATATAAATTTCCGAGCCACCAATTGCTTGACAACACATTGTAATTGGTACTTGATCAACCTCTTTTGGTGCACAACATTGACATGTTGAATTACCCATTTGATAAGATGTCATTTGCATTGTTAAAACATTACCAACGTTGGAACTACAACCACCGCTACATTGTTCACGAGGAACAGTTGAAAGTGATTTACACTTATCAACAATAATATATTCATCGGATAATACTTCAACACGACATTGACTTTCAACTATAATAGTGAAAAACTAATTAGTATACAGTATATATTATGAATGTTATATTATATACCTCTTGTTTTATTACATGTACCACAACAATTTCCATGTGCAGCTGGAATCCATGTATAACGATTGTTTGAATCTTCATATTGTTTTAATAAACATGTGTATTCATTGTCCGAACATTTTGATGAACATATCAATTTACCATAGTGACAGTTACATAATTCACATGGATTAGTTGGATTGATAATAACTTGTCCGGTCTAAATAATTTATAAATTATATTTCTATTAGATCTATTGATACACTTACTTGTACAATAACACGATTTGTTCCATTATTTATATAACATTCATCATGAGGAGTTGTTGGAGTTGTAGAAGCAGGTGTTGGTGTAGTACCAGTAAAACCTAATTAGATAGATAAATAAAGATCAAGCTATTTTAATGTATATTTTAACATACATAATTTATTGCAAGTATCAGATTCAGTTTCTTGAAGAACTACAGACTTTTGAAATGTTATGTATTCAGCCTTTGTATACGGTAGTTTTTGGCAAACTTCACCATCACATCGTGGCATTGGTGATGAACATAAACGATAACGTGTACGTGTTCCATTACATGATCGACTACAGGCACTCCATGAACACCATAAATTCCAATGACCATTAACATTTGTTCCAGATTTTGGTTGTGTTTCAATATTACCTGTTTCACGACAAATTCTTAAAATAAAAAATAAATAAAGATATTTTATATAAAAGTTTTCAAATAAAAAAATAATTAAATCTATTTACGTTCGATTGCATTGTGTTTCTTTAATAATTTGACCAACTTCATATGTAACTACAGTATCATTCATCGTTGCAGTACATACAACTGTGCAATCTGAAGAGCAATTTCGTTTATCTTCCTCAGTTTTACTGATGGGACAACTAGATCCACAATATGTTCGATATCGACTTTGCGTACCATTACAAGGATTCGAACAATCAGTGAATCGTGTCCATGTTGACCATTCACAGTTAGTACAATTATTATCTGTTATTGTTGTACAACCATCATTACATGTATATGTTTTACAAGGATCTCTAGTACTGCTTTCACCATTGTATAAAACTGTATCACTAGTTGGTAATTGACATTTACAGTCTTTACGATCAATACATTCACCATCAGGTCCAATAACTTTATTATCGGGACAGATACAACCTGGTCTACATGTGTCTGGTTCTTCACATTGATTATTACATCTTAATGAATCACATGATGTATCACAAGCATTACAGCAGTCACTAGGTATTTGACCATTTGTACAATTTAATTCTAAATAGATAACATAATACAAATTATTTAAATGATTTTTTTTACGAAGATAAAAAAAAAAGAATAAATACTAATCAATTAATTTTATGTTTGAATCATAAGTAGCATATATCTACTCACCACATGATTGTTCACTGCATACTCGTATATCGTATGATCGTCCTTCACATGAATTACCATAACATGATGGTGATGGATTTGTACATGATCGACTTCGTGTTTTGATTCCATGACCACATGTTTTTGTACATTGAGACCATTGTGTCCATAATGTCCATTGTCCATTAATTGGACAGCAACCTACATTACATGGTTGAACATCTCGTAAATTGTCTGGTCCACAATTTTTATGTGGATATGTTGCATAATAACGTGTGCGTATTCGTTGACCACCACCGCATGATGCAGAACATGTTGACCATTGACACCACTCCGTTAAACTACACGTACAATTAACACCTTCTATACATGGACATGAATCACCTGTACAAGGTGCGGTTTGAATTAATTGTCGTGGACAAGATGAATCTGGTGGAAATTTAACAATTAAACTTTGAATACGTATTCGATTACCATTTTGACCACAAGAAGCATTACATTTACTCCATTCACACCATGGAGTATATTTACAATGATCTATATAAGGAATAGGATAAGAAATAGCATTATTTACTAAAATAACAATTTGTATTTACCGAAACATGGAATCTTTTCACTTCTTACTCCTTCTATTTTACAAATAAGACGTGTACAATTATCAATAAATACAGTTGCATCAAGAGGAATTATATCATCAATATGAATAATTTTATTTGTTTTCACACCTGTTGTTGAATTTATTAAATAACCAATAAAATCTTTATTGAAGAAAAGAAATTCGATATTTGTTTTTAAAAATTAATTCAAGTTAAAATGAACTTACTATTTGTTGGTGGTGAATAACCTAATTGTCTGCAGTAGTCTAAATAACTGATTTTACATTCCTCACAGGGTATTTCAGCACATGAACGTGATTGGTGCGATTCATAGATTGATGGACGACATGTATCATTTATAGCTACACGTGATCGAAATTGATTACCACAAGCTGGACATAAAGGTGAGCATGGTGACCATGTTCCCCATTCGCTCCAAATACATGGTGGAGTACGGCCAGTGGATGAAGATGAAGTATATCTTGTAGACACTGATGCAGCCACTGTTGAGAATGACACAACTACAATAAAAGTAATAAGGCCAAATAACAAACTATCGATAAATTAAAATTGAATTTTGAAAGCTTCTATCAATCACCACTGAATGTTTTATTTATAGGTAATAATGTGAATTATACCTTACAATATGATATATCGTAAAACATCATTTATATAAAAAATAAAAAACTCAATAAGATTTCTTTCTTTTCCAAACTCTACTTATATCTTTGCAATAATGTCTAATTAATACTATATTGCCAATATATTATCACTATTTTTCATAAAACTTTTATGAAGCCTTTCATAATATCCAGGCAGAATATTACAAGATTTGCGAAGGTAGTTATTTCTTATTACACTACATCTCAAAACTTCGCAATGTAGAAAAAGAAATTTCATAATAATTTATATGAAGATATTACTAAAAGATAAATAAACCTTTTCCATATATGATAAAGCTACAAGCGTCTTTATTTCTGCCAACAGTGTTCATTTTGAAATGATTCGCTTAACCGCGCGGTGCTGCAATCCGCAAACGCATATCTACTATTTTTTGGCCTTACAGGTTCACCATACAGCATGCGACGAGTATCATCTGGAATTCAAACATTTATTTTCTATTCTTTCTCTATGTAGCACTTTTCTTACCAACCTAACTTCTTTGAACAACTATCAATGTCATTTGTTTTCAGGATATATTAGTCTTTTCATCGAAAACCATCCTTTACTCAGCAGTTAATCATTTCGCACATCTTTTTCTCACATTCTGAAGCTTAAACTGTTCTTAGAACAATCGTTTCCAACTGCAAACTAACTTTTCGATCAATACTTTATACTCATATCAAAATCCCAAATGGTTTCACTCTGTTTCGCATTTTCCACTACATATCCAATTCTACGTTATGCGGTTACAACTTTGCACACGCAAAAAACGATCGTCTTCACAATTATCTATCCTATTCGGAACGATCCGTATTTACACTAACTAATATCGCGATACTATATTTAATCAAAACCTCCTTCTGTTATAAACATTAATAGCACTCAAAAAAAGTTATCTTCTTTTACCTGGAAAAATACTTGGACCATTCGTAGAGCCAGGTGGTCCGTATGTTTCAGTAGGTGTAAAATTTGGTCCTTGTGTTCCGGTTCCAACTGGTCCTTGTGTTCCGGTTCCAACTGGTCCTTGTGTGCC